AACTACAGGTATTTATTTTTAAATTTAAGAAACAGGGTAGCAGGCTGTGGTGGTACATGCCTTCAATCTCAGTACTCTGAAAGGCTGAGGCAGAAGGATCAGAAGTTCGGGCCCAGCCTGGGCAACTCAGTAAGATCCTGTTTCAAAGTAAAAAGCCCAGCTGGAGGTGTAGAGAGAGAGAGTCTCACTATGTTGCCCAGGCTAGGGTCAAACTCCTGGCCTCAAGTCATCTTTCTCCCTCATCCTCCACAGTAGTCAGGACTACATGTGGATGCCACCTTGCCCAGCTTTTAGACCTTATTTTAATAATACAAATATATGGTTGAGTTTTGTTAGAATTAAAATTCCTTTTGTGAGCACAGAACATTTTTCTGTTACGAAAATGTTAGCAACTTTTATTTCAGTCACATGAAGTCTTGGCAAAATCTTCTACTTAAATAGCTAGATAAACCTTGATGCTCTACGATCATCCAAAACATCTCAAATAAAACCTAAACCTTCAAGAGGGAAGTTTTATATATACACCTCAAATGATGTCATCTAGATAATTATTATACACTGAGTAAATGTTTTTAGTCATAATACTATGATATAATTGTAACTTAATCCAAATAGCAAAACGGGGTATGTTACCAAGCTGCTGCTTTGCAATATATAATGTAGTAGACCCACTGCTTATTACTATTGAATTATCTCTTGTAATATTTTATTACCTTTAAACTAGATAACAATACTGAAATAGATATCCCTTAGAGATCACTTATGGCTAGAAAACAAAAATCAAATTTGCTCTCTGCATTGAAATGTTTAAGGGTATGGATACTATTTAGGGAGGCTTAGCCAGTCTGAACCATGCTTCTATCAGTTAGCTTTTGATCAAACACCTAATCTAAAGCTCTAACCTTGTTATCATTGAAAGCTTCAGAATAAACTAGCACATTCTTCCATTATAGGCCTATTATATCATCATAGCAATGTTGAACATTAATTGTGCCTTTGATCTTTCTGCTACAGATTTTTCTCTTAGTCTCTAGGAGGTTTCTAGTAGTCCTATTGTTTATGCTATCCCATATAAAACTTGGCACCAAAGGCACATTTAAGACAAACTACCTTACTCTGTCCACTTAAAACGTATCTGTGGTAAAAGCATTCATAATCTGTCTTTAAATTTTCCCATGGGGCCAAGCGCAGTGGTGCATGCCTGTAATCCCAGCACTTAGGTGGCTGAGGCAGGAGAATCACTGTGAATTCAAGGCCAGCCCAAACTGCATAGTGAGACCCTGTCCCAAACAACCAAAAAATTAAAAAAAAAAATTTCCACAGGGAGCCAGGTGCATCCTACTAATTCTAGCACTCAGGAGGCAGAGACAGGATGATTGACACAAGTTTGAGCCTAGCCTGGGCTACATAATGAGTTCAAGGCTAGCCTCAACTACATAGTGAGACCCTGCTTCAAAAAACAGAAATTTTCCATAGGGATAAATATGTTTCAATAAAGGGATAAGTAAAATATCTCCAGGTCAGGGTTAATGTATATTTGTTCTACATGATGAAATAGGTTTTACCAACAATCAGTATTGAAAATACCTGGTTCATCTTTGTAGTACTATCAAATCTACAGCTCAGTAAATATATTTCAATGAGTAACTCATGATAAAAGACAGAAGTACAAATATAGTCAATGAAGTCTTCTATTATATATGTTTCGGTTTGCTATTAGTATTATACATTCTGACAAAATTATTAGATCAGACTAGCAAAATATTCAAATAGTTCAAAGTCTAAACTAAGTTATGATATATGCCCTATTGTATGAGGTGTTAGAAAGCAGATACTTATTTTAATATATTCTTAAAGGATCACATATATAAATTGAACATCTACAAACGAAATCTTTGAAAAGTATATCCTAAATGAAATACTTTCATTTAGTTAAAAAAATCATATTTAAATTTACCAGTTTAAAAAAAAAATTTACCAGTTTTGTTATTTTTTTCTGTATCTAGTTTCTAGTGCTATATCTGAAGTCACAACTGATAGATTTTAACGATTTTAAAATTATTATGTAGGGCTGGGGAGATAGCGCAGTGGCATAAGCACCTGCCGGGCAAGCGCAAGGTCATGAGTTCGATTCCCAGTACCGCAAAAAAAAAAAAAAAAAAAAAAATTATTATGTAAAGGCGTAAGTACTTCAATTAAAATCAATTATTTTATAGAGTTATTTTTTAGTAATCAAGCAAACATACTTCTTTTTTTTTCCTTTCTTCTTCTTTTCTCTTCTTTTCCTCTCTGATTTGGGCCAACCGCTGCTTCTTCCGTTCCAACTCAGCCTTTAATTCACTTTTGTCTGACATGTTTGTGACCCTAAGAAGCATACAATCATTTACAGTTATCATTACATTGGTACAAGCAGCATATTAAAAAAAAATAGTGCTTCAAGAAGTATGTGCTTTAACAGTCCCAAGAGACCATGTATTTTGATGCTATCTAAACATACTACTGTATATAAGTCTACATTTAAAATAATGGAACCAAGCCAGGTGTGGTGGCTCATGCCTGTAAGTCCAGCTACTTAGAAAGCAGAGGCAAGAAAGGTCAAAAGTTTGGGTCTCTCCAGGGCAATGTACTGAGACTTTGTCTCAAAAAATAAATAAAATAGTAATAATAATAATAATGATAATGACAATGATAATGAAAACATACACATACTACTAAGATGAGAAACATCACTGTACAAACAAATTGTATGTAAAAACCATTACCCTGCGCTGAGCACAGGACCGAACACGTAGTGAGTGCTTTAACGTTCACATGCCCAAATTTAACACAATGGCTCAGCGTTCTTTCATGTTACTATAGGAGAGCACTGGAGAGCTAAAGGTCAAAACTAGCACTTAAAACCGAGGATACTGGCTGGCATTAAGAAGATATACAACACCAAACAAAACTATTAACAGTTCTGCACTCATTCCTTGAAACTTTATAAAAACAATAGGAGGGCCAACAGAAGATTCTTATAAGTTCTAAAGGTGCCATGGAATTATTAATAATGAAGACAAACAAAATACAGCTAGCATCATTAACAATCAAATCAAATGACCTTTTATTGCTCTGCAATAACACCTCACCTACACCTCTTGAGGCACTTTTAGTACGATTTCTGTGAAGACTCCTGAGAATGTAACCTGCTTGAAATCAGCATGTGTTTTAGTCATTTTTGTTATCGTCACAGCATCCCAGCACAATGACCGTAACATTATCTTGACACTGACTAAATGATTAATGGGCAAGGCAGACAGAATTACAGAGCTTCAAAAAACAAATCACCAGATGCACTATGGTACTTCATTTTCAGTTTTAGGAAGCAGTAATGAATTGTTTTTTACTGAAAAAGTAACCTAAGGCTGAGCGTAAACTAGGAGCCAGGAACTTGTTACTCTGTACGTATTTTATATTACTATTATTATAATCATCTTTTGCGGGGGTAGTACTGAGGATTGAACCCAAGGTCTTCCCACTAAGCGACCCCAACCCCTTTCTTTTAAAGGCTGGGTTTGGCTAAGTCACTAAATCGTTCAGACTGAGCTGGAACTTTCAATCCTCAGCCTCCGAAAGTGCCACCACACCCTGCTCATATATTATTGATTTAATATGTAATGACCAATCTGTCAACGTCTGTACAACTGAAGTATTAAATGATCAGGAAAATTGGGAGAATAACCTCTGGACAAAAAATCTGTTTACGAAGAAGAGTTTCTTTAAAAGCACAATTATTAAATCTGAATAAAGTTAAATTAGTTAAGAGGTAAAATCCATCTACTAATAAATGCCATAAAGGAAAATTTTAGTGGCAATGCTCCATAAAGACTAACGTGTGAGTTAAACTCTCAAGAATACAAAAACGCTGAAAAGTTGGTACGGCTGGCTCTTAAATACAGATACAGTACTCGGAGTCATTTGAACAAACTAAAAACAAGGAACGTGTCTTATGCGGCCCTTTTTACACCTGTAAAAAGCTTCATACTAACAGCTGTTGGGAACTTCCTCGCCTGACTGCGTGCTAGGCTCGGCACGGTATTTTTGTTCAGCCTCAACTACAACGCAGACATGCCAACACTAACGCACATCAGGTTAAAGTAAGCACATCTTCAAACACCAACAATCAAGTTCGCGGGGCTGAGCCATAGGCGATCCGCCTTGTCATCCGCAGAGGCGGAGCCTTCGCTCCGAGACTTAAACTGCCAGGGAACAGTCTCTAGCATCCGGGCTACACCCCTTCCGCATCGGCACGGTCCAACACACCCTAGGTCAACGCCAGCGGCACGTCCTTCGTAAAACGGAGCAGGGCGAAAAGCAGCAACTTTCTCCCGCGGGCTTCCGGCCGAGCGGGCGCGGTCCCGGCTGCAGCGTCCGGGGAAAGGGGCCAGGGGCGCCGCGCAAGCCTTGGGGCTCCCCTCGCGGCCCAGAAGGGAAGGGACTCGACTCCGCGCCCCAGGCCGCACCGAGTCACCGTCCCGGCCCCCCTCGCCTTTTCTTTGGGAAGCCGGCAGGCCGGAGCTGTCAGCAGTAACCGCCAGGCCGTCCTTCAGTTCCGACCCGCGGTACGGCAGGCAGGAGGGCCTTGCGGGAAGGACAGCCAACTCACCTGTCCGCTGGCGGGACGGGGAAGCGTCCTCCCGCCCGCAACCTCCCGGGAATGCCCCTAGCTTAAGCCCCAAAGCCAACTGTCGTCACCACCACCTCAGAGGCTTCCGAGGCACACAAAGAGGGATGGGCGGCGGCTGCTACGGAGAGGACCTGGGGACAAATGGCTTCGGCAGACTGAGGTCGCTCTTAGAAATAGGGTGTTGGCCCGTCTTTCACTTACCTTTTGTAAAACGGATAGATGAGACAAAAAGTACGACCTAGCCGGGGGTCCCAAGTGTTTCCGCTTGACTAAAGGTGGAAAGCTACGCCTAATACCCGAAGCTGAGCACGCAACCACGGCCTTCCGCGTCGGAATTGGTGCAACATGGGAGAACTACAAACCCCAGCAACAAGGCCAGCAGTGCATTCTGGGAGTCGTGGTTCTTGGCTTTCGCAGGGTACGCTGGGATGCGTAGTGTCTTTGGGTTTCCCGCTTCAGGCCTTCCAGGTTCCAATGAAAAGCTAGCAGCACTTTTGTATTCTCTTAAGGTGGACAGTGTTCACAGTGTTTCATGTGTTATATCTGAAGACCTTTGACTTAATATGGACAGAATTTTGAGAAGGGTTATTTTCCATGAACCTGAAAATTGGGTGAATGGCACATTTTAAGGGATATATATAGTTAGATATATGTCCAAAGATATAATTTTAGAACAGACTTATTGAGGATTCATGTGGTATCCGAAGTAAATCTAAATACAAATAAATTAAGTGGTATACCAAATAATTCTCTAGTATTTTGTTGCTGTGTAGAAGCATTTTGATTTTCTCTCCAAACAGTTTTTTTGGGAAAAAAATTTTAGGTAAGAAGGCAGTTTATGTTATTTATTTATTCATTTGTCTATACACGTTTGCAGTGCATATTGTTTACGTTCCTTGTGGGGAGTTGGTAGATGTTCATAACACATCTTAATTCCTTTTTCATCCCCTTCCCTTCCATCCCCTCCCCACTCCTTCCATCTCTTGAGTTCCCCCTTCACATTCAAAGGTTTATTTATTTGTCAAAGATATGAAGTTATATTATCCTGAACAGAGAGAGAACCCTGGTTTAGGAGTCTAAAACTTACACACTTTTAAAAAACTGTCAAATGCTACAAACATCACAAATGCAGAAGTAAAGTCACAATGTTTTAATAATGCAAGAACTCCTCTGGGAAATTTTCTTTTCCCCCTCTTATTATGTGTATCTTATTTTGCTTTGTTTATATTGGGGTTTCTTATATAAGAGAAACCACACAATATTTAAGCTTGTATGTCCACTTTATTTCATTTAACATTATGGTCTCAAGATGCATCCATTTTCCTACAAATGACTCAAGTTTATCCTTCTTTATTGTAAAGTAGTACCATGTATATAAATGCCACATTTTCTTTATCCATTGATGGACATATAGGCCACTTTGTCCTTTGATGGGCATATAGGCCACTTCCAAGATTTAGCTATTGTGAATAGTGCTGCTATAAACATGGGAATACACGTGTCACTGTAATATGATGTCTGTAACTCTTCTGCAAAAATACCTAGAAGGGGAAGAGCTGGGTTAAATAGAATTTCTAGTTTTACTTTTTTGAGGAATCCCCATACTGACTTCCATAGTGTTTATACTAGTTTACATTCCCACCAAGAATGTAGAAGAGTTCTTTTTTCCTTTCAGCTTGCCAGCATTTGATTTCTTGATGATAGTCATTCTCTCTGGAGTAAGATGATATTTCAGTGTTGTTTTAATTTGCATTTTTCTAGTGGACAGAGATGCTGAACTTTTTTCATGTATTTATTAGCTGTACTTTTTTCTGAAGTGTCTTTTCATTTCAGTTGCCCGTTTTTTGAGTGGGTCTTTTGTTAGGAGGTAATTTTTTTGAGTTTTTTATATATTCTAGATATTAGTTTTCTGATGAATGGTTGGCAAAAAATTTTCCCATTGTGTAGGTTGTCTCTTCACTGTTGATTGTTTTCTGGTTGTGCAGAAGCTTTTTTATATGATAAGGTCCCATTTGTTGATTCTTGGTATTGTTTCTTGTGCAACTGGAGTTTTTTTCAGAAAGCCCTTGCATATCCCTATGTCTTCAAGAGTTTTACCTGTTTTATCTTCCAGCAGGTTGAATGTTTCTGTTTTAGTATTTATGTATTATTTTTGTTTGTGTGTTTTTGGGCAGGGTCTCACTATGTGGTGCAGGCTAGCCTTTTACTCACTTATGCAGCCCAAGCTGGCCTGAAACTCATGGTGATCCTTCTACCTCAGCCTCCCGAGTGCTGGGATTACAGGCATGTGCCACTATGCCCAGCTATTTTAATATTTAGGTCTTTGATTTTAATTTAGTACATGGTAAGAGATACAGGTTTAGGACCAATCTTTTGCATATGGATAGCCAGTTTTCCCAGCACCATTTTTAAAAGACCTATATATCCTTCAGCGTAATTTTTTTGCCTCTTTCTCAAAGATCAGGTAGCTTAATGTGATTGGAGTTATTTCTGCATCCTTTATTTCGTTCCTTTGATCCACAAGTCTGTTTTTGGCAATACCGTGCTACTTTTATAACTGTAGCTCTTTAGTATGACTTTCAGTCCTGGATTGTGATGCCTCCTGTTCTTGATCTTGTTGCTTTTGCTATTCTAGGTCATTTCTGGTTCTATGTGAATTTTACGATTGTTTTCTCTAGTTCTCTGAGGAATGCTATTTGCATTTTGATTGGAAGTGCATTAAATTTGCATATCAGTTCTGGGAAGTTTGGGAAGTATGGCCATTTTGATTATATTGGTTCTGCCTGTCTAGGCGCAAGTGATATCTTTCTATTTTCTGATGTCTTCTTTAATCTCCTTTTTGGGAGTACTATAGTTTTCATTGTAGTTTTTCACTTCCTTGGTTAGGTTAATTCCTAAGTATTTAATTTTTTTGATGTTATTGTAAAAAGTATTGTTTCTTTCTTTCTCAGTGGAATTAGATTTTTTTATTTTTTTATTTTTGTGGGTTGACTTTGTATCCTGCAACACTACTGAATTTGGTTATTAGTCCTAGAAGTCTTTTGGTGGAATTTTTTGCGTCTTCTATGTGGAGAATTATATCATGTGCAAATACTGATAATGTGGCTTCTTCCATTCCTACAATATTCCTTTTATTCTTTCTCTTGCCTGTTTGCTCTAATGTTTCAAGAACTATATTGAATAAGAGTGGTGACAGCAGATATCCCGATCTTGTTCCTGATTTTAGAAGATGTTGGAGACCACTTAAGAAGAACTGAGGCTTAACTGACCTCCTCTGTGAGCACAAAGGAGAAAGGCAACATGCAGGGATGATGGCACTCACAGGTTCTAGGAAAAAGTCAGTACAGCTGAGATTAAGTTGTTTACCTGAACATGCACTAATGGATATTAGAAGGCAGATGAAACTTGTGTTTCTTGAATTGCTCATACCCGTGTCTGACTGAATCAAAGCAGGATGTGCCAGCTGCTAAGGCTCTCTGCCTGCTAGAAGCGAGAGCCTCCTAGGTGCCGCACACTAAGTTTGTGTCTGTCTTTCAAACTTGTTCACCCCGGGTCTGGGTGACAAACTAGTAGACTAGCCAGGGCATAGGCCAGTTTGCCACAAGAAGGCTTTCATCTTTTCTCCATTTAATATGATGTTGGCCATTGGTTTGATATAAATGGCTTTTACAGGTTGAAATAAGATCCTATTATACTATACCTATTTTCTTCATTTTTGTTTATCATGAAGGGATGTTGCATTTTGTCAGAGGCTTTTTCTGCTAAAATTGAGGTGCTCGTGTGTTTTTTTTTCCCTTGCTTTTGTTTACATGGTGTATGACATTGATTTGCATATGTTTGTGTATGACATTGATTTGCATATCAACCATCCTTGCATCACTGGGATGAATTCTACTTTGTCATGATGTATGATCTTTATGATGATTTGGTGCGTTCTGTTTGCCAGTGTCTTGTTGGGGATTTTAGCCTGTGTGTTCATTAAAGAGACTGATCTGTAATCCTTTTTCTTTTGTTGCGTCCTTGTCTGTTTTTAGAAGCATTTCAGGAATGATTTTGGGAAGAAGAATTTGAGGTGTGTTAGTGTTAGATCTTTCCTAAAATTCTTGTAGAGTTCAGCAGTGACTCCATCAGGACTTGAGCTTTTATTAGATGGTAATTTTAAAAAAATTACTTCTTCAATTTTATTGTCCAACACTGGTTTATTCAGGATTTTTATCTCTTTTTGGTTCCACTTTTATAGTTTCTATAAATCTAGGAATATATCAATTTTTCTGAATTCTCTATTTTATTAAAGTACAGGTTCTTAAGTAGTTATTAATAATCTGGACTTCAGCAGTCTGTTGTGATTTTGCCTTTTTCATTTCTAATTGCATTTATCTGTTTTTTTAAAAAATTACAACACTTTATTGCAACATCAGTAAAGTTCAGATTTCTGAAGCTGGTGAAGACTGGGCAACATTTCCAAGTGAAATGTTACAATTTTACAAATTTTGTTTTTTATTTAAATCTACATGCAGAAACTGAAACATGGTAAGAGAAAAATGCAAAATAGGTAGAAAAAAAGATGTAATCAAGTTGTAGCATACAGATGTGCTCTTTAAATTCACTATGCCTACTGGAAAGCAAATAAAAGACAGCTATTCTAATAAATTAATAGATTCTCAGAAACAGACTAAGAATCCTTATTTCTATTCAGTGAGGGAAAAATGAAATAAAACAAAAGCAAAACAAAAGCTCTACTTGTTTGGTATCTTTCATCATTTTGTTTTCCTGCATTAACTTTTCACTAGAAGTTTTTATTGCTTGCTCTATACTTTTCTACTATAGTCCTGGAGCCCCCAAATATATCTTCTTCCAACATGGGATGTTCAATTTGGAGACACTGTAACTCAAATCAAGTTTAATTTATTTGGGTTTTGTCTTTCCTTTTTTGGGTAAGATTTGGTAGGGGTTTGTCTATTTTGTTTATTCTTTCTAAGAACAACCCTTTGATTCATTGATTCTTCGTATTTTTTTAAAGTGTCAATTTCATTAATTTCTTCTCTGATCTTTATAATTTCCTTCCTTGTATGAGCTTTAGATTTGGATTGATCTTGTTTTTCTAGGATCTTGAGGTGCATCATCAGGTCATTTATTTGGACTTGCTCTGTTTTTTTGATGTGGGCATTCACAACTATTATGTCCCATCAGTTCTTGTATGTGTATTGGCATTATTGTTTGATTCTATGAACTAATTTCTTCCTTGATTTCTTCTGTGATCCATTGATTATTTAAGGAAGTATTATTTAATTTCATGAATGTGCATAATTTCTTTTGCCATTTATTTCTAGTTTTATTGCAGTATGATCTGATAGTATGCATGGTATAATTTCAATTCTTTTATATTTACTTATACTTGCTTTATGGGCTAGCATGTGG